ATATATATACATGTATATATGTATATATATATATATATACATATATATAAATAATAATTTAACATTATTTATCTGAGGAGCAGACTGCTTTGAGTTTAACTCCATCACAGAACTCTCATCTTGAGCATGAAGGCGACAGTGGAAAGGAAAAACTCCACATGAGGAAGAAACCTTTAGCAGAACCAGGCTCAGGACAAGCGGCCATCTGCTTCAACTGGCTGGATTTGAGAGGAATAGATACACAATGGCAGGTCCAGAATGGAGGCCGTCAGGTTTTCTCTAGGAGGAAAGACCAAACGTTCTCTGCAGACAACTGAAGCAGCTCATGCGTACAAACACTCGGGTGTCTTGATCGACGCTTCACTCACTTTCATCTCACGTGGAGAAACTTGTGGAGAGACTGAGGTGAAAACTAGTTTTTTGTTTATATAAAAAAAGTTATTTTAATGTAAGAAGAGGTTGTCACTGCAACGTTTTAACCTGAGCTGGTTTATGGAGATCTTCTGAATATGAGCACTTCAGCCCAACATCTTTAAATGACTGACACTGTTCGTGCTGATGTTCATCACAATCTGTAAACCACTGACTGGTACAGTTTTATATATAAGGCACTGCTCGGTCTGCTGCCATCTAACATTTGCACCCTGACAGCAGACATGAGTTGCTTCTTATTTTCTTCCCTCACAGTGTTTGTTGCTTTCTGTTCCATTTCTGAGTTGGGTAAAAAAGCTTCTGTTCACTCTGCACTTTATGCATGGGATATGTTAGAGGAGGACTGGAGACTAAAATAATTAATGTCACTGAGGACCTTTACAGCTAAGCCTAGAGCTCTTGAGGATGATGCATGTTTTTCATACTATTTTTTATCCTTGTCAGTGTTTTAACAGTGTAACTTTACTGATGCAACAATTGAGGTTTTTGTAATTTTATAAATGTGGCTTTTTGTGCCAAATCAGGTTGGTGTTTGGAAAAATTAACCAGTTACTAACTTTTCCAAAGATTTATTAATTTATTTTTTGCATTTGAAAATCTGCACTTTTCTAAACCAGGTCATGCTGCAGGATGGGGACACCTCATCACTGACCACTGTTTTCTGGGGATGTGAAGTTCCTGCAGGTTCTCAAGACGATGCACCTCCCTCTTGTTTGCATCTGTTCTCAGGACACGAGGAACACGCTGAACTGCTCTTCAAAGCTTGAACTAATCAAATCATTATGTTGCACTGGCAGCGTCCATGTTTGTGTAAAACCTGCTAGTAGTAGAGCTGAGGTCTATTCATTGAAACACATTTTATGAGTTAGAGCATTTCATTTTTAACATTTATATGTTTGTGTCTGGTACAATTCTTTTAAATGGTATTTAAGTCAGCCCAGGTTTCAATATCATTACTTTTAAACTATCGTATCAATATAAAATATCAGTTTGTTTCTTCATAAAAACCCACAGGAGTCCATTTTTCAGAGGAGTTTGAGCTGTTTGTGTAAAATAAGAGACAACAATAAAAGTTATATGTTGGCTGCAGATGCATGAATGTTAGTGGTATCTTGTTTTGGACACCCCCGGCGAGGCGATGTCATTAGATGCAGCAGCCACTGATTCAGTTTTTGTTCTCTTGTGTGCAGGGAAGAGGAACTCTGTTCTCCAGCATAAAGTCCAGCACCACCAAAGTTCAGGCACGCTCAACCTTCACGAGACAGAGATCATCCAAAGAATCGTCCAGCACGACCGGGACATGGCCCAGTGCACTCAGCTGATCCAAACCAGCACCGGTCCGACATTAAACCTTCCTGCTGCTCCTCCATCACCCACCCCTCTCATCTGGACCCCTCTGGTCCAGGCCCCACTCCAGGCCGCCGCTGCCACCACGCCGCTGGCTCTGGCCTTAGCTCACCACTCCACACTGCCTCAAATCCTCCTCCACAATCCTCTGGCACCGGGGTCCGGTTCTATGAAGGAGCACGGCAGCCACCCGAAGAGGGTGCAGATCGGAGCCTCCAGCAGCTGCGGGTCTGGGTCTCCACCCAGCCCCGCCAAGAACAGACCTGTGGCTGAGACTCCCTCTCTGGGGTTCTCCATCCCCCAGCATCTCTCCACAGGACTTTTGTCAGCCTGTCTCCCCTCACAGCCCATCTTCACCAGCAGCCTGCAGCCTGTCACCCCCCTGGTTGCTCATCCCCCCCACTGCGGCGTGGCCCCAGTTTTCCCCATCAGCCAGACCACCGTCTCCTACACTTGCTCTGCCCAGCTCCACTCCCAGCCCTTCCATGGCGCTATGACCTCTCCACCTCTAGGTTTACTTCAACAGGGGGCACCAGGGAGGTTAGCGGGGAGATTCCCAGCCCCCACCATCGGGCCTCTGATCTGCAGCTCAGTGAACCCCATTCTGAGCCAGATGCAGCAGGTCTGTCCTCCCTCCTGCATCCTGCAAACAGGATCCACAGCGAGCAGCGATGGGAGCCTCCCACATTTTCCCATCATCACCAGCAGCCAATCCTCTACTGGACCTAACCCCCCAGCGCCTGTCGGTGGAGCTGGAGCTGCAGCGTTGCTGGCCCAGCACACCCTGGCAGGACTGCAGTCTGTTTTCCTCCCCCAGGTTCTCCCCGAGCACTCGGCACTTGCTTCTCTGGCCCAGTACGGCTCAGCCGAGGACTCGCCCAGCTACACGCCTCCCCTTCACAGTCCAAGTACACAGAGCCCTGTGAGGGGGCAGACAGTTTTCCACGGTGAGCTCCCCCCCACCATAAGCTCCCCCAGTTCTCAAACCCATCATACCTCGTACTCTAGAGATCTTTTTACCCAGGAAATAAAGACTATCTCAGGCTCTCACAGCTGTCTACACCAGGAAAGGCCTTTGGTCATGAGTGGCTCCCCAGAGGGGGCAGCGGGGGCCTTCTCCTCCCCCATGACTGTCAGTAAACTCTACACCTCCATCCCAGGACAAGCTGCTCCTTTGAGTCGGAAACGGACAGGACCCGAACCTCTGGACCCGTCGGGTGGCGTTCACTCTCCTCTTCTTAGATCTCCTGCTGAAACGTTGGAGCACAAACAGTCCAAGCTTCCCTCCAACCTGTGAGCGTCACTCCTGCGGCGCACCGACGGCTCGCCTCCATGTCGGGAATATTTCACACGTCAGTGGCAGAGGGACGGATTTTACCCAAACTAGAGATCAACGGTTGTGTTTTTACTCAGAGTGAATGAATGATGGACGAGCACAGATATTTTTAATACAGATCATTAAATCTTTGAATATAAAGACAATCCAAAAGTACTGAAGGGTATATATTTAAAATCTCATCCAGATATAACTTGTTATACATAATATATTCTAACCTTAATCTGTGATTTGTTGTACTTGTTTGAAACCATGTTGTCCTTTTTTTTAGCTACTCCTGTTTAGTTGAAAGTTTTGTCTGCAACTTTATTCAGTTATGTATTGGGTGCCGTTTGTAAAGTTACACAGTCAAAAGTTAACAGCAATATTTGGTTTATTTAGCCTTTCATAAGAAAAAAACGTTTTTTTTTTTTTCAAAGACATATTTTTACCATGTTATTCATACATTTATAAATGTCATAGTTCCAAACTAAATATTTAATTTACAAGCTATATATTTAGTTTACAAAATAAATATTAACTTGCAATTTAAATATGTAATTAGCAAGCCAAATATTTAATTACACACTAAATATTTAGTTTACAAGCTAAATATTTATGTCCAAGATAAATGTTTAATTTACAAACTAAATATTTAACTTGCAAGTTAAATATTTAGTTAGGAAATTTAATATTTAGGTGTACATTAAATATTTAATTTCCTAACTAAATATTTAACTTGCAAGTTAAATATTTAGTTAGGAAATTAAACATTTATCTTGGACATAAACATTTAGTTTGTAAACTAAATATTTAGTGTAGAACTAAATATTTGGCTTGCTAACTAAATATTTAACTTGCAAGTTAAGTAGTTTGTAAACTAAGTATTTAGCTTGTAAATTAAATATTTTGTTTGGAACTATGACATTTAGAAATGTTTGAATAACATGGTGAAAATATGACTGAAAAAAAAAAACACATTTTTTTCTCATGAAAGGCTAAATAAACCAAATATTGCTGTTAACTTTTGACTGTGTAAGTTTACAAACAGCACCCCATAGTTATGATTCAAACCAAAAAAATAATGTTTACTGTTTTTACTCCTTGTTTATAAAGAGTGTTGGATGAATGCAGCCCCCCCCCCCCCAACCCCTTCAGAGACGTGTGGTCAGACAGACTGAACTCTGCTCAGTCCAGCAAGGTGGTTTGATGATGGCGTGTCTTCCAAGATAGCGATATTGCACACCCAAATGGGTCACACAAATCAGAATGCATTTAAAAAGAGTACTGAATGTAACGTTTGTCTGAATGTGTTGTTTTGATGATGGTTGTGGAGGAACCACATGACCCACCGCCAGCGTGTTTTAGTCTGGCTTTACCTTTAGATCACCCACCGGAGCTGAAGTTTGTGTGCCATGAGCATCGTATGCAATAATCTCTGTGTTTTTATTTTATTTTTACTGTTGGGGTATAAAGGTACTGTGAATCGAAGCACTTGTGTCAAAGATTTGAGTAAGAACTCGTTACAAAAAGGGAGATGATTTCTTTTTTTTTTTAAAGCAATTGTGGATAATCAAAAAAAAAAAATCTAAAAATCCTGAAACCAGCAATGCACTAAGATCGATGTGAATGTTTCTTGCATCAGTCAAAGGGCTACACAGCAGTTACTTGGACACACGATTGACAAGGAACTCTGCCGGGTCATGTTGCTGCATATTTACCTCTCTCATCGTGCAATGTTTGATTGTAAAGAATCTGACATCTGCTGTTGAACTGCTGCTGCTCTGTGATGCTATGCTGAATCAAAGACTGCTTTATGAAGAAAAAAAGCTTACTTACACCCTTCTAGTTAATGTTTAGATGGTTTGTTCTCTTTTTAGACCTTTTTTGGCTGGTGACCATGAGGTCACTAGATTAAGCCATCTGAGGATCCTGTCCAGTGGCATTAGCTGGTACCTGAGGTTTGCTTCAGTTCTGGAGCGCTCCTCCCAGTGAGGAGTGATGCCACCAGTCAGCAGCCACTGGGCTCGATCGGTCCCTCGTTATTATTCTCCTCCAACCACCTGCCAGCAGCATCAGCTGGGCTTCACTTTAGGTTCATTATGAGTACATTTAAAAGGTGTAAAGTCATTCATTTAGTTATTAGTCTATCATTTTGTTGCCTTTTTAACCAGCAAATTTTTATGATTTAATCTCCTGTAATTTAGGCACATTTTATTTTAGCTGCTGAATTCAATGCAATAAAAAAACGACATATGGTCAGTGACCCTCATATAGCTGTTGGTTTCTTTTTGAAGAGCGGCATGCGGCATGAGGAAAATCTGATGAAAATGATGGGGAAGTCTCCGACTTTAAGCCGGATTATAAATCGGGAACAGCGTGCTGTTGTTTGGTGCCAAATTTCAAAATAGCCAGGATTATAATCTGCCCGGTATTCAATACAGGGGAAATTATTTGCCGTGTTCATGGAGTGATAAGTGGTGGATTAGTAAGGAAATAGTCATTTAATTTGGCGCTGCTTTAAAGGTTGATTGAGATAAGCTTCTTTTTTCTCTCTCTCTGAGACGAAGCGGTCAGGCTGATAGAAAGCAGACAAAACTCACAGGACGTCCAGAACAATAAATCCCTGTCTTCTAATAACACCATAAACTACATATTCACGTTTAGAGAATAATATTTGTGTGGATGCTGACTCAGCATTGTTGGTCTGATTATAATTTATTCCATTTTTTTTTTTAAACTGAACTCTTCCACATCTTCGTGCCATTTTAACCATTCATGTGTCGAAACATTCAGGTCCACTGGGAACAGGGTGCTGTGTTTTTATACCTTCTATGCTTTTCAAAATATTTAAAAAAAAACTCCTGATAAAAATGCACTGAGATCTCTTCAGTTCCTTTAAAAACATTTAAACTTAAGTGTACTGGCTCAGTTTTTGTCTTATGCTTCATTTAGCTTTTAGCTACTATTTTGCTAGTTTTAGCCTTTATTAAAATGTAATAACTTTTTGGCTTGTAGCTGTGGTTATGCTCATTTTAGCATTTTGTCCATTTCAGCTCTTAGCTACTGTTTTGCTTTTATTAGCATTTGTTCCAATGATTTAAATTTATAAATCAATTTCAGCTTTTTCCACCAAGTCAACAAATTTCAGCCAAGTCCTTCAGCATTCACATTTTGTAATATTTACTTGACTTTTTGTAACTTTTGCTCAACGTTAACATTATTCTTTTCAGCATTAAAATATAAGAAATAGGTGGAAGTAACTCACAGGAGGTTAATGAATGAGAAGCTGATCCAACATAAATATACTTTTAATTGATCACACCAGATCAACTCAAATACTATATCAGCTGAAAGTTCCACATAAAACATGGGAGAAGACGAGAACAGCAGCAGGACGTGGACAATGAACTGGAGGAAGGAATCATGTTTCAGTCATCATCAGGTGTCCTTTAAAGGGATGGCCTAATTGGGACTTTCTTGTATGAAATAATTAGGAAGACCAACATGAAGGGAACAAAAGTTAGAATAAGAGAGTTTACTGATGTCCTCTTGATGAAGTTCAAGGCACCAGAACCACCCTCATGGTGTTGGTGTAGCCAGAGCCGGGGCGCCAGCCGGTCACAACGATGGCCACGTCACCAGACTTGAAGAATTTGCGATGTTTACCTGCAAACAGATTTTAAAAATTTAAAAACATTTGTCTTATCAGACACTAGGAGCTTTCGGACCACAAGGAACCAGTTCACAGTCGTTTTAAGCTTTTTAGGGATTTCAGATTTTTTGTTCTTGATTCTGTGGCCGTTCATGGCTCTTTTAACTGTTTATATTTTTTAGCTCATGTAAACCAGACACTAGGGAGCACAAGCCAGTGTATCTCTTCTGCCGGTCCCATGTGCCTGTCCCAGGTGGTGAGGGTTGTGTCAGGAAGGGCATCTGATGTAAAACACTTGCCAAAGCTATGATGCAAGTTCAACAAAGCTAAATCATACCGGATTGGTCAAGACCAAGTTAACAATGACCGCCACTGGTGCTGTTGACAAACAGGGTGCTGGCGGAAATTGTGCTACTGTTAGGCGAAGACCATGAGGAGGGATATGTGTCAGGAGACAGAAGGAGAAGATTAAAGTGAAGAATGACTGAGAGTTGCAACTCTAAATGTGGGGACAATGACAGGCAAAGGTAGAGAGCTGGCTGACATGATGCAGAGAAGGAAGGTAGATGTTTTATGTGTCCAAGAGACCAAGTAGAAGGGCAGCAAGGCTCGCAGCATTGGAGCAGGGTTCAAACTGTTTTACCATGGTGTGGATGGAAAGAGAAATGGAGTAGGGGTGGTCCTGAAGGAGGTGTTGGCAAAGAATGTAGTAGAGGTGAAAAGAGTGTCAGATAGGGTGATGTGCCTGAAGATAAAAGTAGAAGGTCCGATGCTAAACATCGTCAGTGATTATGCTCCATAGGTTGGATGTGATGAGGAGGAGAAAGATACATTTTGGAAAGATATGGATGAAGTGATAGAGAGTATTCCCAGGGAGGAAAGAGTGGCGATCAAAGCAGGCCTGAATGGACATGTTGGTGAAGGAAACAGAGGGCATGAGGAAGAGATGGGTAGGTTTGGTGTCCAGGAAAGAAACCAGAAAAATGGAGGATTTTGCCAAGAGAATGGAAATGGCTATAGTCAACAACTATTTCCAAAAGAGGGAGGAACATAAAGTGACCTATAAGAGTGGAGGAAGGAGTACGCAGGTCGACTACATTCTGTGTAGAAGAAGAAACCTGAGGGAGATTGGAGACTGTAAGATTGTGGTAGGGGAGACCGAAGCCAGACAGCATCCGATGGTTGGCTGTAGAATGACTATTATTGTGAAGAAGAGAAAAAGAGGAAAATAAGAGAGGAAGACCAAATGGTGGAAGATGAAAAAGGATGAATGTTGTGAGAAATTCAGAGAGGAGCTGTTAAAGGCTCTGGGTGGTAAGAAAGAGCTTCCAAACAACTGTGCTACTACAGCAACAGTAATTAGAGAGACAGGTAGGAAGGTAAGGTACTTGGTGTGTCATCTGGACAGAGAATGGATGACAAAGAAACCTGGTGGTGGAATAGTGAAG